CCCCCAAAAATCATGCTGAAATTCTAGTGTATTTTCTCTAGATGTAAGGAAAAGCCAGCAAACAGTTCGATTTCTACCTTAAAACCACTTGTAAAACGCATTTTCCGCGCTGCGCGGCCACTTGAAATATGAAATCACACGAACACTGTCTTCTACATGTAGGTATTACCGCGAGTTGTAAGCTCTGATTGGTTCAGCCCCGAAAACCTGCGCTCTGATTGGTTTATCAGCTGTGCATTACATATTACTAGCACGAGTTTCTCACGCTGTGAGAGTTTGTTCTGCTGACCCCTTCGTAACGATATCGGTAAAAATGAAATCGAGTTCTTCTGAAGACGTTACATGCAGTTTATTTTCGCGGCACACCGTGCCCTTCCCAACAGCACCGAACAGTATTTTTCACGTGTGTAGAATCGTGTATATTCCCGGCCCGCTGCTGGTCCCGCACCGCGCCGCTCGAATTTCCCGGAGCCGACGAGAGTAAACCATACAAGGTAATTTTAATTAAACCAAGGACTGGCTCAACATTTTTGTCCGATCTCAGAATGTCCTACTAAGAAATCTTCTGTAATGTCCTTGGTTGAGGCGAACTGAGATTCGATTGACGAATAGACGAAATGTGTACCCAGCAAAACATCAAAAATGCGTTCCCAAAATACAGGAAATGGCGTTTCCAGAGGGTCGAGATTTTAAAATTTTCCCATGGAGCAAGCCCCGATCCCCCTTGTGTATTGTGGAAGAAGTTCGTGGACGTCATGCAGTCGAATAGCGAGTAAGAAACTTAGCTACAAAGTACTGGAAATTTAGCTTCATGTAGCAGCAAAAATTTTCCCCCGAAAATGCAGGAAAACACGTTTCAGAGGGTTAAAATCTCAAATTTTTCCGGGGGAGCATGCCCCCGGACCCCCTAGATTCGTCGCGCCTGCGGCGCTCGATAGTGGGTTCCATACAAATCTCGTCCCCCACTGACGGTCAAGATTTCCTGCCGCCGCCTCAGCCTACTCAGTCCATTGTAACATTGCGGACATGACAGCAATAGTTTTCTGTATGATGATCTAAAAATTGAACACAAACTGCTGAGATAGAACACAAACTGCTGAGATGAAGGAGGGTGTTATTCCCTAAATGACACAATGACCGTTTGGTTCTGTTTCATATGGAAGAATTCATAGCCGAAACTCTAGAAGGGGCATTAAACTTAGCTTTAAATAAAACAAAAATTTAGGGCTCAAAATGCTGGAAATAGCATTTCAGAGGGGTTAGAATTCAAAATTTCCCGGGGGGGCATGCCCCCGGACCCCCCTAGAAGGCTCGCGCCTGCGGCGCTCGCTGACGGACGCCTTCGGCGCCCGAAATCTTGCCCCCCCAATCAAAATTTCCTGCCGCCGCCTCTGAGGTCGAAAGCTCTAGGTGAGAGAACTTTTTGTGTTGGACCAAAAGTTTCAACTTTAAACATGTAACTATACCAACACAGATGAACTTTCATGATAGTGTACAAAATACTTTTTGAACCAGGTTGCCCAGTGGGCACCTACGGCAAAAATTAGGTTGCCCATCATAATTTTAGGTTGCCCCACCTATAAGTTACTACTTTCCTGAAATTAAATGTTACATACATAAGCCTTTGACAATATTTCTAACAGCCTTTAACTGATACTAGTAATAGCCATTTATTTTAAAAAGCATCTGCCG